CTATGGTGCAAGAAGTTGAAAATACAGGGCTTAATTTCTCACGTGACCTCATCGTTCAAAATACTACTGCCCAGATTCATGGAGAAAACACGTCGCGGGATAAATCTAATCCTGGACTAATAAACCAGCTTCAGCGAAGAAATAGCACCGGAAGTACTCCACGTTTAATCCGTCACGTGTCTACCAGCCGCGCGGCTTCACCCACACACATGATGCAAAGTCGAACCTCGTCGCCATCACCAACTTTTCAAATACCAAATCAGTCAAAGTCAGATGCTCGTCGTGCTCCATCTCCTTCACGTTTTATGCCAAACAGTTCCGTGTCTCCTAGTCCTTCGCGACGTATTTCAAGCCGTGCGTCAACTCCAGTTCGACAACTGTCGTCTCCTGCTCAGTTATTAGTAGGTAGGGATAATAAGACTGCGGGACGAGTAACCCGCCGGAGGTCCATTCCTACGGGTCGAGTATCGAATCATCATGTCACGGCAATGGCGGCTGCCAGTGTTTTCACTTCTCCCAGAAGGCACAGGAAAGTGAATGGAAATATCGGCCCCTCGCGGCACCTCGAACCAGTAAACCGAACCAGACACCCAACAGCTCAAAAAACGGTTAGCCACGGAGGGACTTTAAGTAATGGGGATGGTGAAGGATTTTTACGAACGTTAGACAGTATTCCTGCGCATTCGGGATCAAGGAGTGCGTACGATTTTGTGGAAGCCAAAAAGCGAAGCAGAAAGAAAATAAAGCGGAATTCCAGCCAAGCTGATATTTTTGATGTTCAGCTTGATTTGCATGATGATGAAGACAGCGAAGTATCTGTTGATGACAAACCGTGGCTACCTACAGGAATCTATGCCGTCTTTCTGATTACACTTTGGACGGCGGTTGTTAGACTTGTTGACAGCGTTGAAGAAAATGGTCCCGTGAATTGCACAAATGGTGAAGAAACCCGTCTGTGGATTTGTGCCGCGTCATTTTCTCTTGTGCAAGGACTCGCCGAGGCGTTTTGGCAGCGAAAGAACTTGCTCAAAGTTCTCTTTAGCATGACGTGCTTATTTGGCTACTTCATCATTTCACACGTCCAGCCTCTCTCTTGTCGCGTTGGGGCGGATAAAGTGACAGAAATAAGCAAATGGCAGTCGGCGATAAACTTTTTTGTGAGTGCGATGTTGGGAATTAGAATATATCAACATATACAAGAACTGATGCTAGAAAAGAAGAGTAGAAAAGCGAGGAGGAAAAGGTCTCAAGTCAGAGAAGAACCAGATGAATTTGAAGGTTTGCCAGAGCGCGTCTTATAATCCCAAAATAAGGGCGTGTTATCACTCCAAAGTAACAGTTCCTCTTATCCTTGTTAGATCCCAAGGGTCTCCTGTAGCTCAACGGTATAGCACCTAGACTGAAATAGTAGCCTCAAGGTCACAGGTTCGACAGTCCTGTTTAGAGAATTCGGAATTTTTTTTCTGAGTCGCTGGATGAAAGCACCGTTTCTCATTTCTTGTGCTTTTGGATCATTTAGGTTTCTACGAAACTGCCCACCTACCCCTCCCCTAAGTGAACATTAACACTTTAAAAAAATTGATCCGTGTTTTTCACCTTAAATACATGAAACGGAAGCCAGATTTTGATAACGGTGTCGTCTTTAACAGAATTATGAAGACAGCGAAAAATTTCGTGTACTTTGTATAAAACGCTCACGGATTAGAACGAGCCTTACTCAGGAACGTGGTGGTGCTGGTCAACCTTTTACAGCCCTGAAGATATAGATATTTAAGAGGACAATGCCTAATTATTATCGTTTATCTCACGGTGTACTGTCACCTATAACTGTTTTAAAGATTGTCTGGCCAACAGAAGGGTGAATTAAACTGAAGCTCACTGAGAAATATAACATCTTTTGATATGAGAACACTAGAATCGTTGGCCCATTAAATGAAAGTTTCTCTTATAACTTAGGTTACATAAAGGACATTTTTCAGTCTGTGTGCTGACGGCCAAGACTTTGGAAATATAAAACTGAAAGGCTAATTGAAGAAGGTCTTCCACTGACAGAGATAAAAATTGAAAATAACGTATCAGTTAGTTAAGCACAACGTACCCTGACTCCAGAGGTCCGTTCTAGTACTATTTTATCAGGAAATAGGAAAGAAAAAACCCTCTGCCGGGCACCCAGGGTAAGCACAACAGTATGTGAACTGGTGATGTTACACGGGACGATTTGCAACCGACGATTTTTCGCTGAACCATAGTTATTAGAGGAGACTGCAATACTTTTCGCCGTTTGTAGTTACTATTTTTGTTGTCACGACGTCAAATACAACCTTCGTGGGACTTTCACGTGTTAGGAAACAAAAGACAACCGTTTAACATACGGAATAAATTAATGCAACGTTTTGATTGGTCAATACAATCAAAATGATAGGAATTCTTTTGAACGTTGTGCACTTTTAGGTCCACAAAAACATATAACAAAGGAGTCTGACGGGTTTCATAACCATTCCACTCAATTAACTATGGCTGAACACATTGTTGCAATGTTGGAACAATGTTTCAGCTATTCGAAACAATATTGCAACAATGTTACAAGGTTGCGTTGCGCTTAAAATCGTCCTTGCAAATCGTCCCGTGTAACATCACCTCAAAATAAAGTGAAGTGGATATTGATGATTTTACCAAGAATGACAGCAATTCAATTGGAAATAAAATGTATTCTATCGTTTTCGGAGTAGCTTTTGCCTAATTAGGGAAAACCAATGAACATAAAAGGTCATAATCTCGAGCAAAAACTCATTACTGTTATTTATCATAATTTTTATTGCATAATAATATGGACAAACCTCATGAAACAACACTTGTCATAATTTGTTAACCTGGAGCCTTGATTTCTTAAACAGATCGGGATAGTAAATACATCATGTATCTCTGGATGTTCCAAGGTCTTTGTTGTAAGCTCATGTGCATTCATTATCATTTCCAAAAGCAAAGAAAACCAAAATTTAAGCCAGAGAAAAATTCAACCGCAACATCTACGTGTCAGCCCTTCATGAACTTCTTGACAAATAATAAAGTGAGCGCATTTGAAGACGAATACATACAGCAACATTTTTGTTCAAGTACAGGTTAGTTCTTGTGTTCTTTGGGTCCTTAAGAACGTACAACGTGCTCAGCAACTAGCCTACATAAGCCGCCGACTACAATTGCCACGATACGTCGAACCTTTGAGCTCTTCCGCCATAGCAGTTAACCTTGGGTCTGACATTTTTTTTCTGGGAAAAATAATTAACCGCCTTTGATCTTTATTTTTGTGACTATTGTTTTGTTTCAAAAAGAAGCGTTTCGTGAGCCTTCATTGAATCTTAGTCGAAGGCGAGAACGGAGAACTTTGTCAACTCTTTGAGGCTATGTTCACATTATACCGGATAGCCTTTCGTGCCGACACGAAAAACTTTCCGATATGAACACCTTTCTGACGTGTAACTCTCCACTTTAGAGATCGGTGCAGAACACCTTCGCTCCGAGCAAGCTCTCCTATTTGGGCTTCGCCGTTTGCTCGCGCGTTCTCGCGAGACTCGTTTCACTCGCCCAAACAGAAGAGCTTGCTCGCAGGCTACAGAAATCGCGCCGAAATCACCGTTCTTACGCGTCAACAGAAGCCCTATCCGGCATTGTTTTATTGCCGGCGCAATAGCAATCCAGTATAGTACAGGGTGAACATAGCCTGAATGTCCTACAATTAAGTTGGTGCAGGCGCTGAGATTTAAGTCGTCAATACAATTAAGGGTTGCATATACTGATCTGTAATATCTCTTGCTTATTAGCTAAAACGTTATGCTTCGCTACCTCTACAGGTCATCAACTATAGTAGAAACAACGTCTCGAAAACAATTTTTTTGTCGGTGATATTGCCTTGTGGTGGCGCTTTTAAGAAAAGGAAATGGCATTGTCGAACAGAACGCTTCTGATATCGTTTCATATAAGCCTATCTAGTTTTTTTATACAGCTTGCAGAGAATAACTCGCAATATGTAAAGAACTGTGAATTTAGACAGAATTACAAAGATTCACTATTCGTCACGCAGACAAGGACAGAGTAAACAAGATAAAACAATTCAACTGCAAAGAATTAACCCTCGGCTGTTGAATACCTATACAAAAAATGTTCAAGAGGAAAGACAATTAAGAATTCGGTGATAGTAACCAGTGTTCAAGTGTAATGAAGCCTTTTCAATACGGGCGAGAAATGACCCGCACATCTTACCCGGCTTAAAGAACCAGACGAGTATTTGCGGACAAAAATGTTATTCTAGCAACGGTTTAGGAAACCGCAGAATTTAATTGCCGCAACAATTTGTACTTGCAATGTTCGCTGGCTATTTTTCAGGCAAATTTTTACAAAATCGTCTGCAAGTTTTTAAACTACTCCCAAAATGCGCAGTTTCCAAATTTGCCTTCCAGCTGAGGAGCGAGAAAAGACATTTTTTTGGCCCTTCTCCTTCCCTCAACAAATGCCCTCTTGTGAACACTTGCCAAGCAAAACAGATGAGTCATCGACCGATATTAGACCACCACTTTCGAAAACGAACGTCATACCGTTCGTACGTAAGTGTATTTCCCAAGTACTTGTTAACTAAGAGGATTATCATGAAGGACTGAAATACATGACACGCTGTCTCTGCCGCGATTAAATACAAATGATTTTTACACAGAATGGGAAGTGTTGACGTTAACCTTTATAGTATGCGTCCGTAAAATTATGATTCTTTAATTGTTTGACGGCCAGCTTTTGTTCAGAAATAATTGCCTAGCGAGAACAGGACAATTACATTCATTACTGCATCGCCATGCATCATATAAACATGCTAAGTGTGGCGAGTAGATTTGCATATGGCTACGCAGCTACAATAACTTAAAGTTACTCCTTAGGATATGAAATATCGGAGAGTTGTTTGCTGTGTTTTTTAAAAGTCAGTTGAATAGTTTTTCTGGGCTTGGCACTCTGATATGGCAAAGGGCTTATTGTTTGCCCTTGTCCGTAAAGGATCAAAATTGAATTACCTAGACGATGGAAATAATGTGCAATGTGACAAACGAAAGAGAAAACAGAGCAACGAGAACTGCAAGGCTCACTCGAAAGTTAATGGCCAAGGAGAAGTGATTAAAAATGGCTATCATGGCGCTCGGAAGTCTTCGGATCAATTCGAAACTTCATCAGAAAAGTCGGACAGTAAACGTAGAGGAAGAAAGTTGTTTGATTTGACTTTACAAAAGCTTTCCAAAGGGTGTAAGAGTTCACCTGTTTGTGTAAACAATGGCACTATATCACCTCAAGGTACCGGTAAACAGAGAGATACACCAAAACCAGGTCATCCAGGCAAAGCTATGGTGGTGCCAAGTGTGGCGAGCGGTTATTTTGTACACGAAACTTCAAACAACAACCGCAAAGAAGCGACCTTAAAGATGCAAGAAAATGAGTTGCTTATTCCACGAATTGCGGTAACAGATCATAATGTGGGTTATTTTACCCCAAGCGGCAAAACTGTTGAAACGAATCGTCCGTGTATTCATTACTCGCGCTACAGTTCTCTTCCACAGTTGCGTGTAGATGAACGGCGAAAAAGACCCGCATGGACTAAAGATGAATCCAGTTCACAATTCAGTGGTTTTACAAACCAAAGAGCCTCGGTTGAACCACAAATAAGCAAGGTAGAAGCAGAACCCAGCGGACTTTTCATCGAAGCTATCCCGATTTCAGCGTCACCCTCTACGTCGCGAAAAAATCAAGGATCTGCAAACTCACTACGATCACAGTGTAGCCAGACAAATAGATCAGATATTACCAGTGTTAGCTTCTTGGATCGATGCTGGAAAGGTGACAGTTCTTTTGACACGAAGAATTGCTTAATTAAGAGAGCCAGCTCATGGAGTCGAGGAGATGAGAAAAGTTTGGGTCTTACTGATGAGAGGCAAAATTCACGTAAAATCAACATTTTTCTTCCAACACTTTAGACATTTTTCATTTTAGAATTTTTCTTCCAACACTCTAGAAGGGAAATAATCAGTTTCACTGAATAAAAAAAAAGCTGGCAAAGAATGTAGAGCACTCCGGTAAATTCAGATGTTAAACACCTGCAAAAAAAGGGGGGGACTAAAAGCAAAAAGAAACTCTTTGGTAAGGAAGAATCTAGACTAAATTACAGAAATGAAATAAAATTTAAGTATGAGAAGGTGTTCCTAGGGTGCTAATGTATCGGTCAAATGGAAGCTTCAACATCCCCCCCGGGCATTTGACTTTTTTGTTTTAATAACAAGTTTAAGGGGGGGGGGGGTGAGCCCGGTTTTACGGCAAGTTTACGGGGTGTGATCCCAGATAAGTCCGCTAGTTTACGGGGGTGGGGTCCCTGTAAAGTATCCCACAAAATGACAGAAGGACGGCGGAAAGGCCTTCAATTGTCGAACAAAATCTTTATAAATACAGCAAATAATTAGCATTCACAATAACAAAAACTGAGAAACACCTTTAGCGTATTTTCTACGAACAAAAGTCTCGTGCAAAGCGGCGGAAATCGCTGCTATAAGGTCACTGAACGCTCAGCTTTTCTTCGTGTGTCATGCAACACACAAAGAGTTCTATAAAAAAAAATCTCACCTATTGAGATTACTACATCATGACAATTTCACTGATATGCATCATCGCTCACCTTATTAATTTACATACTTGCGGCAGGTCAAACTAGTTGACCTGAACTTTTTATTTTATTTTATTTTGTATTGTTGTATTGAATCGCCAGTATAGGTATTGTATTTTATTGTAAACACAACTTAATACATTCATACATTCAGAGCCTGAATCCATATTAAAAATATTAAAATTTAAATACCTTCAAATACAGCACAAAGCTTGTTTAAGCCCTTTCCTCGTTACCAATTGGCCACAGCTCATCTTTTCCACGAAAATCCTCTAACAGTACTGAACCGCGTCCATGATAGCTCGTCGCCGCAGAGATTTCACATGAAATCGAGGGTGCAGATCAAATTCCCCACCCCAAAGTAGGATTTTGCAATAAAAGGGGGTGGTAGGCCCACACGACTTTTACCTCATGCCAAAATGCTGCTTATTCCAATAAAGTTTTTTTTCCCTCTGTTTCTGGTCGGCAGGAGGCTGCCCTCTGATACAAGCGCATTTTCTTTGACCTCTTTGACCTCTTTATTACGGCTGAATAAGGGTTCCAATTTTCTCCAAAGTGCCTTCTGGATCTGAATAACTAAGCAATTTTCTTTAGTCCGTGAGTGTAATGTTTTTCTGCAATGCTTTCCCCACCCCTAACGCATGGGGATCAAATTCCCTACCCCTGGAAGACTCTGATAACCAAATTCCCTCCACCCCGGGACGGCAAAGGTGTCAAATGCCCGTGGTATGCCCGGGGGGGATGTTGAAGCTTCGATTTGACCGATACATAATGTTACACGAGCCTCGGTTAGTATTGTCTGCTGCAAAGTCGTTCTTTGAAGCACACTATAGCCTTTCGTCTGTGGCGCAGCTGGCTAATTTACCTCTTCTGGTCATCAGTATGGACCGCTTGGGAAAATATGTAACTACTAATTTCTCCGCACTGAACTACCTTTGATTGATTATCATTTCCTTAATCTTCTGATTGTCCCTATGCTTAATTGTTTCATGCCCCTGGCTTTCCGAGCATGGGCTTCTAACCTCCCTATAGTTAGGCAACCTTCTCTGCGTCTCAGAAAAGTTTACATCGAGGAGATGGTTGCAAAAATTTGACTGCGCTTCTTGGCCGGGCCGCTAGCCTGCGTAGCAAGCGTTTCCGCCCGAGTTACTGCAAGCAAATTGAGCCAAAACAAAAAACAAGAAAAAAAAAAATGGCTGTAAGGAGAGCGTGTTTGTAGTTTGTTTCGTCAGATAAATTTTCGGATCTTCAGTGCGTTTTAAATCATTTTCCTGTCAAAGTGGCTCGCAAATTCTCGTTATCGTTCGTCAAAATTAGAGAGACAAACAATGGGCTCCTGATGGAGAAGGTCCGAGCGCTCTTAAGCTTGCCTTACAAAACATGAAAAAAGTTTGAGCTAGAGTAAGGGTGGACGTGCGTAACGTTTAAGTGGATACGCGCGTAAAACTACTTTTGCAAATAAAATAGAGGCATTGTATGAAAGGTCGTGCGTAAACGTCAACGTATTTACGCGGGTAAAAGTTAGTCTCGTGTTAGTAAAACGCTCCAAAATCAGACCAAGGCCCGAAACCTTCCGAACTTGCAACCGCCGAACATATCCGAAAAGTTGCCGCGGTGTTTCACGATAGGAGCGGTTACCCAGCTGTTCGCGCATTCGAAACCGACGCGACGCCGGAGTTCATTGAGGCTGCTGCAGATTTCGTGGCGTGCATGGCAAGATGCAAACCACCAACTATTTATTGAGCTCCCTCGAGTTTTGGTTTTGTTCCGGTTAAACACCTCTGCCTGCCTCTTTGAGAATGTATGCTGAAGGTGAGAAGAAAACCAGCTGTGGCACCTTGTGAGGAAAAGAAGACAGTGACGCAGACTGCAGCGTGGATTAAGATGGATGATGGTATGTGACAAATTATGAGGTTTTCAAAGGGTAAGTTTTCACTTTATATGAAATTTTTGTCAGAAATAATGGTTCAGTGACATTTTGGTATACTTAATGAAAGAGCTGCTTGATAAATTAGCATTTCAAGGCATTTTTCCTTTTGTTTCATGATCGCCACTATGCATAATAAACAAGGTGGCGGGAAAAACAAAAGCACACTGAAAGCATGATTAAACCACTATGAAATAGACCGCTGCTTGCTAAAGATGCGCTATAAATACTATGAAATTACTTTATAATGTAACATATTACATTCTGAGTAAAACGTACCTTATCAAGCTATGTAAGACTCGTATGCAGCGAACCTTGTAATGTTGGTGCCGAACTTGAACGTAGCGAAATGTAGTGAAACCAGTGTCATATTTGTGCGAGTGCGCATGCTCTCTTATCTTGTCTTATCGATTGAGCGGTTTGTCACAGCCAGCGGAAGCTCGATTATCTCATGTATTTAAACTTTTCCCCGCCAAAATTTGAAAATTTGTAAGGAAATGCAATAAACCTTTAAGGTTCTATAGGAAAAGCAGAGTAGAGGGAGATGATAGATTAGATCAAAATGGGCGGAAAGCCTTTCACATGGATGAGCTCCTTGTGGGTTGTCCCCCTTCCCTGTGGAAGAAGTTTTATTCTAGGGGGTCTGAAAAGTATATTTCAGTGCAATTTAAGTGAGTAGTTAAAGGATATTAGTCGTGGAGGTGCCTACATTTGCCTTCATTTGCTTTTCATGAAGCTATGTTAGTTGTTATTGAACAAAATTGTTGAGACACAAATACCACCTATTTCGTACAAAATTGTTTTGTGTGAGTAGCTGGGGTTTCTGTGTTGATTTTTGCTGGCTACCAGAGCTTCTGTAGAAAGCTGAAACTTTTCAATTTCCCCAGACAATAGGCCTAAACTAGCAGTAATCAATGGTTAGGAAGTGCAGGCAAGCATTACATGTGTGTTAAAGACTGCTTGCAGTCCGCCTTTTCTTTTATCATGGGTTACATGTGGAAAAATATTGCATAGAAACTGTGTGCAGTCTAGCGTGTTTACCCTGCGTTGTTGATTTTGAGAACTGCTTTCGTAATGTGTAGGTGAATCAGAGAAAGCCCTCTTATTTGCAGTGTCAACAAAAGGAATAATGGCAGATCATGAACGTGGATATTGAATTGAACAACACCATAAACAAGACTCATTTAATTCATTGATTTTATTCACAGTGGCTTAGAGTACAATTAGCTTGCGAATGGTGAGGAGCGGGACAAGAAGGCTGTATTCGCAGGCAAAGATTCAATGAAAACAATTAATACATGACATCACAACACTTAACCTGAAATGTGTTCAGTCCTGTCTCCACAAAGTCTTATTCAATCAGTTGTTCAGTATTTGTTCAATGACCAAAGGCCTTTGAGATGGAATAGTAAATATTGAAAAAGCTTTGTTTAAAGCTTATTGAAGCTGTCAGAAAGCAAGTGTTATAAGATGGAAAGGTCTAAAAAGATAAAACCATGCACTGTAGTGTAACCTGAGTTAACTTTTAAAAATTGACATGGAGTTTTAGACTTTGCAATCACTTGTATCTTAATGGAAGATTGTCCCACACTAAGCTGAGATAAGGCTCTATTTTCATTTTTAAGTTGGAACTTGGAACTTGGAGGTTATGTTTATGTATAAGGGAAGAAACTTCTCTGGGGGCGGGGAGATTTAAAGGAAGTTTGGTTGGGGCTGTGCTGCTGTAACCCTTCAATTGTGACCCTGTTTAAGGCAAAATGCATTAAAATTGCAACCCTGTTTAAGGTACTAAATATTGAAATTGAATACTTTTTCTTACATTAAAGATCACATTAACCTATACCATGCAGAGCAGCACATACTGAGTGAGCCGACTGACTGCGTGTCCGTTCGTAAACTCCCAAGGGAACCATTTTCCTTGTAAGAGGAAGAAACAATGCATTTGTAAATGACAACAAATCGGCAAGACATCATGACTAATTTTGTTTGTGTGCATGATAGATCTACTGTTTCATTTTTCAGAGCAGTTTTTCAAAATATACACAAGCGTACTTGTCAACCACTACACTACACTTCCACTACAGTATTGTTCAAAGTAATACCAAATTTTCAGTGATTCTGATATAAATCACATTTATGTATTCGATTCGTACATGTTGATTTTATACAAATGTTGTTTTATTCAACAGGCATGATCTGTAACATATAGAAGATGAAACATGACCTGTAATGTCAAAAAATTATTTTGTAGAAAACAACAGAATGACTAGTGGATTGTGTGAATTATCAGGAATTATGTTAAAATACATAGATGTTTTTTCCGAGTTTTGTGGCTCACAGCCACTTTGATCCTTGGTAAATAGATTTCCAGTGGGCAAGGTGAATCGAAAAGT